AAGTTCAGTTCAGTTCAGTTCGTTTTGCCCACCCCTACGTGGATCCCACGTAGATGCATACGTGGATGACACGTGAATGAATTTTTTTTTAAAACACCTGGACCCAGAACGGCCCGTTCTGAAACCATAACGGGCCGTTCTGGCTACTCTTTTGGTGTGTTAATTTTGCATCCGAAACTGCCCGTTCAAGGTGCAAAATTAACACACCAAAAAAGACCTCCAGTACATAGTCAGAGACTACATCTCTAACTAGATACTTTACTCAAATTGGTCATTCAACCATAATATGGATCGACTATTTCCATGTCGCCCACACAGTACTAAGCGATTCAACTTTAAAACAACTTTCAACTTATCACCTTAGTACTATGTATCTCAACATAGGACATATATCTTCACCATATGTCCCTAACTTTTCAACTTTACAACAATAGACACCATGACAACTTTACAACAATAAACATCTGGCCACTTGTAAATGGTATAGTTCGGCCTGGCCCCTATACCGTGGTCGCTTTGTACACGTGTGCCTCGACCTTGCCCACACACGGGATCAACTAAGTCCCAGAGGAGAACAACACAACGTCCACTCCAAGGGACAACTTCCCAAGGAGAGTTTTTCAACAAATTGGGCTCTTAGAGCACCACAACTATCTCAATCCACACAATGGGATGAGCAACTTCGAAAACATCTCCCCTAGTCCTAGTGATCAACAACTCATCATCACAGCTTAATCAGCTTAACAATTTAAACAACATACAACTTTTCAGCAATAGACATCTTAACAACTTTAGAGCAATAGGCATCTTAGCAACAATAGACAACTTACAACAATACAACAATAGGCATTATATATCAGCTTGACAACTTCTTATTCAATCATACAACTATGCAACTTTAATAATTTTAACAACATGCAAACAACTTAATTAAACAACTATAGTCATTACAATATCAACTTAATGCAACTTAACAACTTTATAAACAACTTCAGTAATATACAACATATTTAAAATTCATCTATCATATCAACTTACATAATATAAACAACATAAATCAACTTAAGTACCTAACAACTCAACTATTTCAACAAAAGAACACCATGCATAAAGCTTCCCTGACTCTCCTGAAATTAAACAACCTACATTCTAGCTTCCCTCACCTGAAGATTGGCTCAAAATAGCCAAAATGGCCTGTTCCGAATCCAGAACGGCCCGTTCTGCACCCCTTCATCATGTACAAAAATCACATGCAAAACGGCCCGTTCTGAAATAAAAACGGCCCGTTCTGGGACTCATCCAGAACGGCCCGTTCTCCATCCAGAACGACCCGTTCTCCCTCCAGAACGCCCCATTTTGGGATTTGGAACGGCCCGTTCTCAACTACGTTTTACAAGTCAATTTAATAGTTTGGAACGGTCCGTTCCAGTTTGGGAACGACCCGTTCTGGGTTACTAAATCACCCATATTGGGCTTTTGGGCCTTCTGAAACAACTTGCTACGTTACAGTAGTTCTTTTCATTGTTTAATTTAAGTTATTAATAAAAATAATTAATTTTATATGTACATACATAATACACAATAAATCTTACATGCATTAAATTTTTAACAAATAATCTCTTAATTAATGATTTAGTTTACTTATTTTACCTTCCTCATTTCACTACAACAAATGTTACATATAGTGACATACAAAAAGTGTCACTATAGGTACAATATATATATGTATATGTATATGTCTATTTGACATATAGTTACACACAATTTTAGTGTTGATTTTGGATGAGATTTAACAACATATTTTGTATGTCACTATAATCTATACCCATATTTTTTTAATAATATACTAACATATATTGTAATTATTGTGTGAGTAAAAATAATTTTTAGTAACATATATAATGTCACTGTAGGGTGTGTATCACTATATGCCAATTTTGTTGTAGTGATGGTTTTTATCCACACATGAAAGTTTAAAGAAATTAACCCCATAAGGAATTTTTATGAGGCTGAAAACAAGTTAATATTGTAAATTTATTCACCTATACTCGTATATACACATTCTTTACAATAAAGTTAATTAAACACACAACTTGTGTCGCATGTTTCGTAGAAATTTAATGTACAGAGTTTATTTTTCACTTTCTCTCCCATGTTTCGTAGAAATTTCACTTTCTCATCTTAATTATTGCGAGGTCTAACGCGATGGGCTGGTAAGACACGTTAATTATGGAGCAATTTATTTAGTAAAAAATTTGTATTTAATATTTTTCATGTGTAAAAAAATCGTTAAATTAGTGACAATTATATTACTGCAAGTTAAATTAACTTTAGTTCAATAAACTAAAAGATACTTTAGCAAGGAAAAAAAAAAGTTCTTGCCAAATTTTTTTTGCACAAATTCCACATTATAAGAACTTAATTACAAAATAAATAAAAAATTGAAGGACTTAATTAGAAATTTTTGCAGCTTAAAGATCTAATTAAAAAATCTTAAAAAGTTCATGTATGAAATGATGTATTAAACTTAAATTTTTTTTAAGTTTTCAATTATTCTTATTTTATTTTTATCCATATTTTTTTTATCACATATCTATTCAATTTTAAAATAATTTTATATAATAATTTAAATTATGTATCATAAATTTAATATATATTCCAAAATTTAAAAGTATTTATTAATTTTCAATTATAATTAAATTTATCATTTTGAAAGATTAAAATTATAAATAAAAAAAACCAGAGGGAGAAAAAAATAGAACGAGATGAATAACGAAATGGAAAGTGATAAAAAAAAAATACTAGACATATTTTGCTATCAACAATAATCAGAAAACATTAATATTTTGGAAAATAATTTTAGAAAGGGAAGAAGGGAAGACGATAAGGAATGAAATAGAGTGGACAGAAGAGGACAGTTATCTAAATGGATCTTGCTGTAACTGTATCACTTCCCTGCTTCTCTCAGACTCACACTAGTAAGATTTTTTTCTTCTTATTTTCGCAAATTAAATAGATACTATTATTATGCTTCTAAAATCTAAAATTATTTCTCATCAACCCTGGCTTCTCGTACTTGCTCATTTATTTATTTATATGAAATTTCATATACCAAGTAGTTAGTTAATTTTGGTGTGGGTTGAAGGGTGTGTTTTTACTTAGCGGTTATTCTGTTCGGTGGAACCACCGTTCCAATTCTTTGTGGGTTGGTGTAGTTCACGTTCACCATTTTCATATCAACACGAATATTTGTGCCAACTGTTAAGGGAATTTAGAGTTTGGTCTCAACTATTAAGATAGAAAAACAAGAATAAACACAACTTAATACATGTTAGAAAAACACAACATTGAGTTTCAATTGGAAACTACTATGTTTACTTGAAAAGGCTTGCTTGTAATGATCATCAAGACACTCACTGTGCTAAATTTGTTGTAGGCCCATTTCCTTTTCTGATGGCATTGACTGTTAATAATTAATATTACAGAAATTTAAAAGATCTTTGTAATTTTATGCTTGTGATGCTTTATGGCTATCTGGGTGTTGATGATGTAAAATAGAAAGGGAAAGTTGTATTTGCTAGTCTCATCACTTGATTCCTTGAATAGATGTGAAGTTACAATTGCAAAGAAGGAGAATATCCACAGTTTCCTCTGCACTGGCTGAGACTGCAGCTTCAATGGCAGTTGCTGTAACTGTTGTTGGAGCAGCAGCTACTCTTCTTGTAAAGAGATCCAAAACGTCTGAGTCAACACAGGTCAGTAACTAACAAAACCAGCTTGCTTTTTCCAAGCAAGAACATGATAATCTTTGGAATGCTTCTATTGTTCAAGTACTAATTCTGTTTTACTAAAGAAAGTTCTTGGAACAATTAAAAATTAATAATGTTGATCTTTCATGTCATTTGACAACTTGGTAATTGCATTCTCCAAGTTGGTTTATGCTTCTCACTTCATTTTTTTAAG